TTCAGTTAGACAGCAGTGAGTTTGTGGAAGTTTCTTCACCAGTTTGGTGAAAATAAAAATCATGACGTCTGAAAAATCAGTGAAAAACTGTCAAACGGCCAGAATTTCCATAAATCACAGAGGATGAGTTAAGACTGTCAGAGAAACTGACTCCAAACATCAAAGACATGACAGTAGAGCATGGGTCTGCACAGAGACGAGACACACTGAACGGTACTTTGTGTTACCGCATCTCAGGTTTAACCAATGAGAAACAAGGTTTTGCTGGTGACAACTCATCTCTTTTTCTAGACACAGCAGCCTCCCAGGGAGTGCTCGCTTCTTTACATCAAATGGTGGAAACAGGAGGTCATTTTATAATTAAATTTCATCACACCTTTATGTTTTCCTTCACACACTGGCTGAAGGTGGAGTTTGTCTTACCCGCAGCAGGATGCTGACAGCACAGGCCATGCCCACTTGGCCCACCCCGACCACCGTCACCTTGTTCCTGGGAGGCTCAGCAGCGCTGCCGGCCTGAGGGCTGATAAGCTTTTGGAGCACTGAGGACATGATTGCACCTGCAGGGAGACAGAGAGAAACAGGAAATTCAGTCAACTTGTCAAATGACAAAATAAAACAAAGGGAAAAAAATTAAAACAGATTGTGTTGACTGCTGCTGAAGATGGGCCAGCACGGTGGTAGAGTAGATGGCACTGAAGGCTCCTGGCTCAAACCACATCTCAAAGACATGAACTTTGGGTTAAATGCTCATTCTAAATTGGGCATGTGCAGAAATTTTTTTTTGATGCATACAGAATAAAAAACTCCATGAATGTGACTTACGTATCCTAATGTTCTCTAAGTGGTAAGTGTGACTAGAAGAGCACAATATTAACTGCAAATATTACTGACCAAAACTATCTGTGAAAAGTTCTTCTAAACTGTTTTAAGCACCAGAAGAGGAAAACAAAACCAAAAAAAAAACAACAAAAAAACAAGTGCTCCTATTCCAGTTAGCTCCAGTCTTAATTCCAAAACTCAGCCAAAAACTTCCAGAAAAACTACAAAAGCTCAGGTTTGTGGGTTTTCTCAAATGTTCACCTGAGCTAAAACTGTCCCATTTCCAGTTTATTTCCTCCCAGTCCTCTTTAAACAGTCTGGGCCTATTACTGGGTGAAGGTTCTTATATATTTATCAGTCAAACTGTCTTTGTAGGAAAAATCCTGAAAAACTAGTTAAGCCTGATAAACACACATACTCTGGCACATTTATAACAACAACCAAAGGAACCAGCTACACAATGAACGGAGGGTGGTCCTTAGGCACAGAGGTGCTGGAGCCCCTTTTATGCATGTGCTAAACTCAGAGTTGACTGAACCACCTGTGATCAGCTGTTCAGGAACACCTCAGAGTTTTATTTTAAACTGTGATTGTTGACCATGCTTCCTGGTACAGGGCCCCAGGTGCTCCTTGTTCTCACACTGTTTTAAACCACAAACACCAGTGGAAACAGTTTGGAAGGTTCTGACTTTCTCCTCAGACACTACGGTTTCAGTTTCTTCAGTCAGACTTTCTCCTGTTCTTTTGCCAACGGGTGTAGGGTTTATTCTTTCGACACTGATACTGCTCTCTCCACTTCACCTACAGGTAAAATGTTTCCTTATAAACAGGGCTGTGGCCGTATTCAGACTGCAGGTAGTAAGAAGGAGCCAGTCTTAGAATGACTCTGATTCACTGGAGGTTAAAACAAAATAATCTTGTCTTTTACAAATTCTATTGTATATACACAAAAAGAAGATTTTTGTTATGTTTGCTTGTTTTGTACGGGTTGTAAACTTAAAAAACAAACAAACATCTAAATCTGTATGAAACACTTACAGGCCATAATAATACATCTAACTGTGATTTGGGGCTGAAATGTCTCAGTAACCTGCAGAGGGTCTACTGTGAAATGACCTACATTGGGTCCAATGGTTGGTTTTATAAACACCTTCAAAAAGTCAAAGGGGACACAAGCTGTTCATTTCATTAGTTAATCATTAAGATAAAATGATTAAACACTACCTCACTCAAGGTTGACTTTGGCTAATATGTTTGACCACAAATGATGTGACATCACCATTAAAAACAAAACAACAAAAAAAACCCACCATAAACACAAAAGATATAAGTGGTATTTGGGTTTTGGAGTGTTGAGGTCAGAGACAGCTTTGAGGAAACAGCATGACTGTGATGGAGTTAAATCTGCTACATTGTAACCGCAAACTCTTCTGAAACCTTACACTGTAATCTATAAACTGCTCCTCCCCACAAAATGGAACTATGCGCTACTGTTGACACAGACCACAGGCATAAATTTTGGCAACAGTGTCAGCCGGTTGCCAAGGTTACTCCATAAAGCACATTACGTTGACTGCCTGAAAAGACAAAAAATATCAGGGGACTCGGAAATAAAAATGTAGTTGATGACAGAAATGGTTTTGGAGAGATTTTGCAGGTCTTTCCTTCCAACTGCTGTCACACTCTACAACATGGTCTCTCCAGATGACCACACACATGCAGACAGACACACACACAATGATAACTTTCGCCATGTCTGCCTGAGGTGCAATAG